GATACAGAGGTTACCACTCTTGTGTGTTTGTGGATGGTTAATATGCTGTATTAGGAATAAACTTTATGATATACATTTATTCATAATACAGATGGATGCAAATAAACGTGTTCTCATTGCAAAAACAATTAACGTATTCTCATTGCAAACAAAAGTACCATCTTAAACAGTTTCATACTAATGTGTGATGATCGATCAGAGAAAGGTGTGTAATCGATTGTTTGTTTGTTGTTTACACGACAATATTCCAGTTATATGACATGGTCTGTAAAATAATCGAATCTGGACCAGACAATCCAGTAATTGACATCATGAGCATCGATCCACGCAATTGGGATACGATGACATGTATCAACCAAGTCAGCGAGCCTGACCACCCGATCCCGTTAGTCGCCTCTTACGACAAGCATAGTCGCCTTTTACGGCAAGCATGGGTTGCTGAAGACCTATTCCACCCCGGATCTTTACAGGTCGTGTGTAATCGTACCCGGGCGGTATTGATCTCATCACATGCAGCCATTTGCTTTTTCACTGCAGCTATCTACACCCGGTTTGACGATTTACAGGTCGCTGAGGACTACATAGTACACACGTACATATTTTATTCCTAATAATAGATATTAGCTGTGCGAAAACACACGAGGGTAGTAGTAACTTGATCATGTAATATCATCTTTAAAACAACAGCTACGTAAAGCGAAGTATCACTCCCTAAAATATGGTAAAGGACCGCGTATTAAGACAATGGCAGGGCAATGCCCAATTTATGATGTGAACAAATGATTTGTAGCCATATTTGTTGACAGAAACACACACACACACACACACACACACACACACACACACACACACACACACACACACACACACACACACACACACACACACACACACACACACACAAACGCACGTACACACATACACACATATAGTGGCCATTATCAACACTTATTGGAGGCGCTAGGCAATAGTTTATTGAGCAAAAGGTCATAGCATCGATTAAGTTTATTAAGGTTATTAAGGTAACTTCAATGGTATATGTATTGAATCGTTATACCAAGTTTATCTTATTAGTTTATCGTATTGATAACACAATCATGCAATTGTAAAACAAAGCTTCAACCCTCACTCATGTTTCTTTCAAAGATATAAATTCCTTCACCTTTGTAGAAAGCAAAATGTACAGTCTATTGGTGACAGCATGCAAGCACACTCGGCATTTGCTGGAGGAAAAATGAACATAATGGATGCGTTACTGGGTTATTACAAATTTACTGACTTCCATAGAGAAAGTAGCTTCAGGTCATGTGTATTGATTGGCTCTCTCTACCTGTCAAACGTAAAGAAAAAAACTGTCACTTCGTAATAGGGTTAGATAGACGAGACCGTGTAACGTAAGTACAGATCATTGAAAAATCTGAAGCGAAATAATTGCACAACGTTGTAGTAAGACACTGTCTCCAGTACAAGAGTGCCTTGGAGTCCGCGTTGACACGTTGTCATTTCTTTATATGAAGGGCAATATCTGGAGGTTGATTGAAAATGTCAACGCCGTAGGTGTACTCATATCTTACACGCAATAGATGGATAGTGTGGCGTCAAACATAATATTTACCCCCATTTTCTTAATATGTGGGTAAATTGTGAATTGTTTTGGTGATCAGTGAAACTATAGTCCTGTATAATCGTTCTATAAAGGTGTTTTGTTCCCTCTTTACTCCTCTCTATGTTGACATGGTTCCTACGACATAAGAGAGATGCCAAAAAGAATACCCAAAGGACGACTTTCAATTTTCTTACCACTGGGGGCGACAGCAATCAGCTTTTGTCACCAGGATCTGTATACTTGGTCGGACTTCCCACATGGCTAGGGCATTTCATTATCACGCTTCTGTGTACTCCTGTCTGATTAATGTTAAAATGCTTGGCACTTGGTGAACAGCAGCATTCATTTGCAAGTTGCATGGGTAGCAAAGTTCCAGTAAGGAATGACGCAAAGCGTTCTGTTAAAATGTTCCATCACCATTACCGGTATGCCCTGGGAATGGTTGGAAAATGTGCAGAAGAAATGACTCTGAGACTCATCTTCAGCACATCGATTTCACATGTACAGGAGAAATGGAATTGTGGCAATTTAGACTTTGGTGCATTACGGTTGAGAAAAGGATGAAGAATTTGTCTAGTTTAAATAACATGTGAGCGTCTGAAAATTTCGTTCAGGAGCACATGCCCTGCACCACGTGACACTGAAATCACTACGATTAAATGTGAACCACAATCCATCATTGCAAATTAAAAAAGGCATCATTCGCCCTGCACGATCACAAATTATGGTGACATTGAAACACTATTTATCGTCATTTCCGGCTGTGAGGAAGCTGACGAATTTCAGGAGCAGATAGGGGCTATATTAACTCAGACATCCTTAACCGTAGTTAAACTGGTATGAAATTAAAACTGAACAGTCAGAAGCTGAGCTACATAATTTTTATTTACCCCAAAGTTAGGTCTTCTCTGGCACGCTTATATCTGCAGAAGGCAGAGTTGAATTAATAATAATAATAATAATAATAATAATAATAATAATAATAATCAATAACAATTATGATAATAATAATAATTATAATAATAATTATGTCGGTGTTGATTTTGTTGATTGTTCTGTACCGCTGGACGGTACAGAAATGAGTGTCAACCAAGCGAAGTGCCATATGAAATCGGCCCAGACTCAGTTTTTAAAGGATAGGCTTTCTGAACGACCACTGCATCGAGTTTATGTGCAGTGTGTGGAGAAGATCAGCAATCCTGCAGAGTCCTTCGCTTGGATGAAGTCGTCTGGCCTGAAAAGTGACACAGAAGGCTTTATGTTTGCTGCTCATCAGGACCAGTCACTTCCAAGTCGAAACCGTCAATGTGTGATTTTGCATCAAAATGTGAATATGAAATGTAGATTATGTAATGAATTTAATGAGACTGTCCAACACATTGTAAGTGGATGCCCAGCTTTGGCACAAAGGCAGGATCTTATCACCGTCTTCGCCTTGCTTATGGTTTTGACACAGCGGTCCATCCCGGAATATGTAGAGGGCGTCATTGAAAATGATGGATACAAATTTCTTTGGAATAGGCCCGTACACGGCCTAAGACCGATCCACTGATGTGATTGACAATCATCCGGGAAAACATGGCAAATACGCTTGCATCCCAAGTACTAAGTTGCCGGACTCCCCTTTGTTCCCGGTGCCTTAGGTTTGTTACCTACAAATCTGTTGACTGACATTGGGAGAGTACCCGGGATTACCGCCAGGAATACAGCCCTTCTGACAACCTGGGTAATGCAGAAGGATGGGTTTGACTAGGCAGCGCTTCCTGGGAGAAGTCATAGTGATGGCCTTGATGGCAAACGTATAATAATTGCATCTATTCTTGAACACGTGATTATGACCGACAATGTGCCTCTTACATCTGTTATTTATAGTGCGCGATGTCATCCAATACGCATCAACTTTCTGCCATGCAGTGCTCAATGTGTGTCATGGCAACCATAATGCAGATGACATCCAGTCCTAACTGTGCGTGATGGCAAACACAATGCATCTGTGATCCAGTACTAATTGTGCGTGATGGCAAACACAATGCATCTGTGATCCAGTACTAATTGTTTGTGATGACAATCATAATGCATCTGTGATTCAGTACTATTTGTGTGTGAATGCAGATTCGCTCTTGATTTCATCAAAGGGGGTGAGTGAGTTTGGTTTGACTCCGCTTTTAGCAATATTCCAGCAATTTCACGGCGGGGAACACCAGAAATGGGCATCACACATTCTACCTATTTCGGAAATCGAGGCGGTGTCTTCTGCGTGACGAGCGATTGCTTTAACCACTAGGCTACCCGACCGCCCATCATCAAAGTGGTAAATGTTTCATTACATTTATAAATATCATTATTATGTTTGAGCTTTGCACTAGCTTCACATCACATCCATATGATAACACATGCTCGTATGAATATTGCTTTCTTTTTATTCAGGTTATAGAAATGCGTCCCAACGTTTATCACATTTTACAGACTATATTATGAACCATCGCTGTTAATAAATCTGTTCCTGAGTGTGTTGAGCTGTAAACATCTAAGTCAATCATCACCTCGGCTTCCCTGTCAGATTAACCTAGTATCCCACGATGTAAATGCAATACTGATCAAAGTGGCATTAAACCCCAAACACCCACCCAATTCTATTTATTATTCCCCCTGTGTTTGATAAAACGTTTAACAAATTCTGTGATATTGGTATACCAAAAGTACCAATTTAGAAATAAATTCATTTTGTATGTGTTAATTTATCATGTAGTATATTTAAAAGATACATAAAAAATATAAACACATATTCTTCATTCACCTGAATATATCAAATGCTTTAAGTAATGTCATGTCATGAACACGTTTAGTGAGCTACCGTATAACGAAATTAACCTTTGTATTTACTATCCAGAAGGTATGTAGCAAACACATATACAAAATATGAACTAAGATATAATCCGTAATACATTTTTTCAAATAACACCACAGAGAGAAAAAGTAGATTCCTGGATACATGGAATCACTGACCCTACGACGTCAGCATTATTTAGACTGCGGTAGGAAAGGAATTCAGTGCAATTATACCTCAGCGTAATGTCGTGTTAAAGTCATTGTCCTACACATTTATGCTGAATGTATTATGCTATTTGTTAACATATGAACGCTTTATTATCGTAGGGAAATGAGGAAGAACGAACCTACAAGAACCCAAGAGGGCTGTGATGCATTTTAATGAAAGTAAGTTGTTTGTCCAAGTCATCCCCAAATGACAATTGCGTTTTAGAAAACGTTTGTCGTCACTCAACCTGTCAGATGTTTAGTTTTTACGCTTCACGGGGTATGAATGCCTTAGAGGAAAGAAAGTTGTCAAACAGGCAGAACTTTATGGCATTTGGTTCAGGAATCCATGGTTTCCATTTCATCATTTCCACACCTCGCGGACTCCCGATCACAAGAATTGTCTAAAAACCACATTAATATTTTATAGTTAACGGTTCGTACGGGAGTCGGGCCTGAGAGACTGGCGAGGGAGATCCAATTTGCTTTCCAACGTGTCATGCGTTCCTCTTTGCCATAATGGAGAATGTTGGTGGCTGGATGGAGCACTCTTGGACTAAATTGATTATTTGTGCATCGCATACTCTCCGCGGATAATTTGCCAACTGATGGCTAGGTCTGTATCTGAAAAGCCTTTGTGCTTATGCTGAGGCAAAATGTCTCTTCAAAAGTTGGATTCTGAATAAAATCGCGCCCTTCTTCTGTCCATGGACGACCAAAAACAAAGAAAGATGACAGCATCGGAGGTCCTCGGGTGATCGCGCGATCTAAAGCCTTGAAATCCTGAGGATTTGATCAGAGCGTACCGATAGACTCTCGCAAACTCTCTTCTCGTCTCACTGTTGGCTACGCCGCCATATTGGCAGCGCTTCCATAGGCCTCCAGTTCAGACTTTGACAAAATGTTTTCATTTTCAATTCTGTGGATTTTTCTTGCGGGAGCTTGGGCGAAATATCAGCTGCCTGTGGGTGAGTCAATAAGTAATCTAATTCATGTGTTTTCTTGGTTCTAATTTAATGATGGTTCTATTTTCCGATGGGGAAATTGTTATTTAATAGCACCATTAAAAGTTTGTCCCCATATTCGTGTAAATCCTAGGAATCATTTAATCGTTGTGATGGAATTAATGCTGTGATTTCGAGTTACTGCAGTCTGTAATGTCTTCTTTTTTAGTTTCAAATCTTGTTTTGGGGAACTCTTTCTGTGCTTGTTTGTGAAAGAACACCTCTTTCACTGTCACAAAGCAAAGATGATGGTCATTTCGTTGAAACCATAACGTTACATCATAACTGTTAAATAATTGAGTATCCTATTTTAGATAATATTTGTAAATAAGGGTGTGATAAATGTTTAACGTTAGTATAAGGTACATGTATATAGTTCAATGTTTGCATGCTATTACACAAAAAGTAATGGTCCTCGTCGACGCTTCCAAACAAGGGATATATACTTTTGCATTTTAGCATCAACGAAGAAATATGTTATATTATCAACCTACGCGGGTGTACATGTAAGTTTATAATGATTTATTTAAAATGCATAATTCTCTCAATTAGATAATTCCAACGGACAATAACAGACATATGATACCCCAAAACGGTCGAATATTAATTTTATATTTCTGAATGCAATAATATTTCTTAAGACAAAATTTAAATAGTGTTTGTGTGGAAGTCAAAACATTTAATGGAAGAAGGGAGATAACTCCAGTATGACTTCATGACTTCTGAGGATATCAGATGCTTAACAGATTATCGATTTCTCACAGATAAAAGCTTTTACATGTGCCTTGAATCCTCCGTTCGTTTTTTATTTCATATATAAATATATAGTAATTGTATCCATGTTGCACTTTAACTAATTATTAGCGCAATATTAACGTTCAAAAACTTCAACCGTCATGTTTTTAGAGGGTTACTTAAAAAAACAATGTACACTTTGGTATCAAGCATAAACATGTACAGTGAATACTAAATAAGGATGTTCAATATGTGTATTCCATGAATAAAAACGCGACATGGAAACTGTCTTTACAAATTACAGATGTAAGAATTGTATATGAGATATACATGTCCATGTTATTGAATGGTTTTTGCAATTTGAATTATCAGGACATGTGGAGAAACAGTTACAGGTGCACCTACACGACTAATAGCAGGTGCTACTGACATATGCATGTCCATCCATTTACCAAACACCTGCCTTCTTCACGCTATTCTTCGGTAACTGATCTGTTACTGACACTGACACTGACACTGGATACCAAGAACTCAAACGTCACTGTTTGGAGAGCAGAATAAACTAGTGCCTTTGTTGTAGACTATACTTCGTTATAATATGTGACTGTTATACATATAGGCATACATACAACATACACGACAACACTTAATACTGATTGCAACCCAAGACCTAAGCCTCGTTTCATTTTCGTTCTCAGGTAGGGTGGCCTTACTCTTACATGTACTGTGAGTGAGATCAGTTGGAGTTGCCGTGTCTCCAACAGGGTATCGTTAGTTGTAGCTTGTCTAATGTACCTATAATTTACACTGTAACTTGAGGGAACATCTGCAAATGCTAACGTATGTTTTGAAAATATTGTTTTATGCGCTCTGAAACGCAGTTTCAATCAGATCTTCTACTGTCAAATTTGAAATGAATCTTGGATAATATTTTATGAACACTTACATATTCAATATACAATTTTAAATTAAAAACATGAAACATTGAAACCACATTAGAACTGCGGTAAGCTCTTGCTTTGTACAAATGGTCTTAAAAAACGTCATTGAATATGTTGGACCATGATGAACAGTGGTGAAAACGTTCACTTCCGAAGGCATCCGAGTAGATGTTGATAGCACAGTAGATGCGTATGTCAGACATAGTCCTGTTTAATGTAAGAGAGGCCTTACGACCAAGCCCTTGCTCAAGGAAGGCACCACATTGTTAATAGTCTACCGTTAACACTGTAATCTGCCGCAATGGGTGAGGAATGACAAAGTGAAAACGTCAGTGACTAAGGTATATCTCATCAAAACTTTGTGACAATAAAATGCAGGGTTTCTACAGGCGACTGCATACAGATAGAATTCAGCTCAAGTGCCGTCAGAACACATTACAAAATACTTAAACGCCTCCACAGAAAGTAACAATGTGATATATGTTCACGCTGTAATTGAGTTTGTCGCAAAAAGAAAAATTACTGTGTGTAGCATCTTCATGTATATGGGTGTTGATGGATAAATATGCCCGTAGCAGTTCCTTTGCGCAATAATATGTTTTATATGCTTCTAATTAAATAACATCAGTTTTTATTCCTTTTGGAATGCGCCTCTGCAATGTACATATATGCATGTCAAATACCTGGATAGTTTTGTGTTCAAGTTTTGGCAGCCCCAGAACTAGTCAACACCTTACGAGCCACCAAACAGAGAAAAGAAAACAGTGAAACCTAAATCAATGTATCAAAATATTTGCATAAAAACAGAAAGCAATTCCAGTTCAGCAACGTCAGTGCCCATGTTCAAGGATACAAGTGGAATTGACACAAACTACTTCAAATGTTACATCAAACTTGTAATCTACAGTGTAGAATCAAACTTGTAAAACCTAATTCAAAGACATGCTTCACTTTGATGTAAAAAGAGCTGCTCTTGAAGTTGGAAGGTTAAATGTTGAACCTTTTCTTAGGATGGCGAAATGAGTTGACTTCAATCTTCTACAATCTGATAGGATTTGTATCTAATTTGACTGTGAAATTGCTGTACTTTCTGCAATCACACATGACCCTGACTGTGAATCCGCGGATCACATTAAAGATCAGCCTGAAGACGCCAGTGTCCTTTTACTGAAGCACCTACTCGTTTAGTTAATATTTGTTTTAGAACGTACGCTTATTGGAACTCGAATATAAACTTCAAAGAAATTGCGTAACAGTACGTAACATAACACGTATTTTTCTCTTGAAGTGTTTCTTTGCGTGTATTTTAATACACGCACAGAAACTCTGCTTCACAAACATGACCTTAGAATGAACGTTGCTATATATGAACCGTATTTGGTTTTTGACGCCAGTGCCAACATTGACAATTATATTTTCGATAACCCGAAGTAAAAAGGTCATAATATGATATAATATTAGCATGTGTGACTGTCGCAGTGACATTGTCTCGCTTTAATGCAATAAGAAACATGGCGAGATGTATGTATGATATGGGAGTGCAGAATTCGCATGGGTTACTTTAGTATGTATAAAACAAACATAACAACATAGATTATCAATAATTCTTATTTAACGTCACTCAAAGAAATTGTTATCATATATGTACGAATATGCCAAACCAACTTACCCAGGAATATGTCACGGTGACGATATTCTGTTTACGATTTCTTACTTTATAGGTATTTTGTATTTAAATTTCATAGCATGCTTTTAATCCACACACAACTTAAAATAAGTGCATAGTAAGTAAGTGTAATGCCGTCATAAGTTTAGAACAGATTACATAAGAAATCCCAAGGAAGATGTATTTTTAAAATAGATATCCGTATGATACTGGGAAAAAAAGAGTATAATAAGCAATGTACATATTTCGTATGTATGCATCCTATTATGGAAGTGACGTAACCTTAGATGACCATGGAACCTGAATCACAAATACATGTACCTGGACTATCCGAAGTCCCGCCTGCAAACTATGTTTAATGTGAGGTAACGCTTGAAATTAATAAAAAGAAGATTCATTGATGTCATTGTAATTATTCTGGTGTGACGACATTAAATTGTATAGCCTAGTCACTGGTTGGGTGTGTTTTTCTTTTCAAATGCATCTTGTCTTAAGAACATCGCCCAATACAATGCCGTGAATACTAGTTTTCATCTAGATTAGCCATCAATACTTGAAAAGAAGATAATAGCTAAGTCTAAAATAAGTCTAAAATATTTCTAATACATAGTATGGCCTCCAAATATAACATTTGTGTTATTGTTATTGTAGTATAAAAATATACAAAGGCAAAAAATAATTGATAAAAATGGCACTATGATTTACACAGAGAAACATTAAAGCGCTTTGTGGAACCGAATTCATTTGGTGGGATCTGACCTCAAATGGCGGTTCTATTCTATATTCATGACAATCAAGAAATCTAATAATCCAGCAGTATTATTGCTGGATATTTTTCTCCTTTATGCGTCAATGTCTCCCTTTAGTGCGCGGGTGCCACATCAACCACCATTCCCCTGCGAAGGCATTCTTGTTAGATAAAGACACACTGACCCCAAGCTCGCTTCTTCACTACCGTCAAGAATATCGAGTGGATTACCACCGCCACACAAGGACAGGCCCTCATGGGCACGCTGCTTGTTAGCGCTCAGTCAAAATTTGCATGTTTGTATTTAACAATGGCTAACATCTCCTTACTGGCGATCGCGTATCTGTGCCTGTGTTGGGATTTAGAAGTCGTAATGATCACCTATAGGAGGTATTGATCTGACTATTTACACCAATTATGAGAGCCTGGGAGATCGATAATATGAGGGGAGGGAAGACGGTTGGCTATTTGTGTGCAGGGATGGCTGTTGGGGGATGCTGAGTCCTACGGGAGTTTATTGCCTGCACTAGACGTTCTTCTTCCTCGGAGAGTGGGTGGAATAGGACCTTTGGAATTTTATGGTCTTTTAGTAGAAACTAATTAGATTTTTATTCCGTATCCGAGATTCATTTCGTCGACTTCTTACTCAGATGTGCAGCCGGCATTTTAATTTGATGTTGGAATGCTGTGAAAGTCTCCTCGAAACTTAATTAGAAAAACTAGATGAGATCTTTTGGGACTAAGGATAAGTTATGCTTTGAAGGATGTTTTCCCTCAGAACGTCTTGGAAGTTTGTAACCTGGTCTCAGTTAAGGGAATGCAATAAGACCCTTGTTTGTCAAATGATTATATTAGTAAATTAATTAAAGCTGTT